ATTCCTGTGTTGGAAGGTGCATTTATCTTACTCACTGTGGAACATTGTGGTGATTCACGAGTAGTCCTGTAATACAGAATGAGATCACAGACATAGAGGAGATTATTGTACGCCGATGATGGGGGGGATCCCTTGGCTCAGGACTGCTGCTTATGTCCGGGCAAGCAATTCCACTACGGACGCATTGAAATTGTTAGTTTTAAAGTAATTACCCGAAATGTTTTGAACCTACAAAACATTGTATTTAAATTAAAGGCATTTGCATTTGAAGCTTAATATTAATGTCACATAGCCGATTTTAGAATGGATATTTTTCATCTGTATTTGATATTTGGTCGTATAGACTTAGAAGTTGACAGACGTTTCGGAGTTGCGTGCTGAATCCAGATTATAGATACGCCAACTGACTGTTACTTTAACCCTCTGTAAGGTGGTCCTGAATTTACGTAACGAATTTTATCTCTTTAAATTTAGACGTTTTCTGATTGTAAAATATAAATAATCTTAATTTTCTCCGTTCCATAGCAAAATATTCTCGGGATTCAAAACGTTTGCTTACCATCGTAAATATTGAAAGCAATGTGAAAGTGTACTTACTCATTTTGGCCTGAATTTGTTCGGAAATTATCGTTATATATCAGAAACAAATATGTCAGTAACAACAGAATCAGCACTCCAGTTCCTGAGGCTAACACCAGGGTGTTTTCGAATTCGCTGCTATTCACATTAATTTTGAAGTCAACTTTCATCTGAAAGATTAAAACAAGTGATTGTTCGGCTTGTAACGAAAACATAATTCTCTACACTTACTGTATGTACCATTCCATTAGCTGTGAGTTGGGCTGAAATCATTATTTTACAGATGAAAGATGTAAAAACAGTTTTAATCACAAGGCCTGGTAGTAGGACCAGTTTGGATAATCAAACGTAGGATTTATGATAATATTAAAATGAATGTTAAACTGTATGTGTGAGTTTGGACGTGTTAGAATAGGGAATGAGATAATTAACTATTGTCTGTTGAGAAAAATCTTTTGTCGCCTGCTCATGCCAGTTTGAAACGAACTAATGACAACAAGGTTATGGCCCATTTAGTTATGCGTTATTGTTCAACAACCTTAATCGAAACTTTACTGCAAAGTTAATTTTATAATTACTTGTATATGAATTACTCGTCTCACACACACACACACGCCCATACAATATACAGAGCAATTTTTACCCATCGATAAAGTAGGTTATTCATGATTGTTTGTTATCAGTGATTTATATAAATACTAGAGCAGAACGCTCCTTTCGGAGCTTCCCGGGGGGGGGGGGGGCTTT